CGCACAAGGAGTTTAAAGAGTTGTCCAAAGATTTGTCTCAGTTTGCGATCAAAGGCTCGGAGGATGACTGGGACAGCGCTCTGAAGGGCACCGCAAAGACACTCATCTCTATTAAAACGTATGAAAACTATTGGTTTTGCGAGTGATTTGCGTTTCGTTTATCATTTGTTTTGTCTTTTTGTCTACAGTTTAGCCAAACGAGGGGTCAGTGAAGACATTAAACGCAATGAAAACAACGGTAAAAGTCATAAGAAGTTCAAGAAATCTAAAGCAAAGCATAAGAGAAATTAATTTATTGTTTAAAATATAACTCAACAAAAAGTTTTATAACTATTTTAATGTTGAATTGTGTTTGTATTTTGAGAGATAATAAAATCATTTCATTAAAACTTATTATTAGTATTAGTTATTACTGTAAATACAGTACATATCGGGCCAACCGCTCAATGAGCACAACCAGCCCCTCGTTCTGCCCAATGGCTACGTCTATGGCGAGCAGAGTCTGCGGGCGATCCTTGGTATTAAGATATTGTTAGGCCTAACTTAATCGCCAACAGTTTTCTAGTAGTTATTTAGGTCTTTAGGAAAATAATGCATAAAAAGACAGCAATTAATTCATCGGCACGTGCTATGCATGCCGTTCCCATCGCCCAAACACACCATTGGCTCCGACTTTTATATATCGCATAACTTGCGCTCAAGGATTAATGCGATTCCTATGACCCGGGATATGGATACTACCGGCGCTGGCCAGTGCTCTCACTCTATACTCTTAGCGGAAGACGACTCCATACGAGAAGTGGACGAAAACGAGTCCTTTTTGCCAAATAGTGACCAAAAGGCGGCCAATAATGTGATCACCAAATCGTCTCAACATAACGATAGCAATGACTTTGAATTCAAAGCCAATCAGTATTGCAGTCAAAAGTTTTTTAAAATCACTTCATCAATGGACAGTTGTTCCCATAATTGAGTCAATTGTATTATTTACTTTATATTTATAAAACATGTGTCTGTAGTTTATATGAAAATATGTTTATAATTATGAAAACTAATAAATATTCATAAAATGTTATTTACAAGTATCGCGTAAATTATACTTTTAGAAATTCTTACATTTTTTTGTTAAATTATAATCATTTGCAATAATTTATAAGAAAATACAAGTTTTTAAATAAATGAAATACAAAAGTCTACTATATAATAAATAATTAATGTTTAACTTATGTTTAAACCACTGAATGAGTCATATATGCATAAGCATAATGTTCAAAACTCACCATGTTATATTAAATGACTAATTAGTAATTACTTATGATACATGTCTAGATGTGTATGACCTGTGAATTAAATAACATTAATATTTTTGCAAACATTTTTTGGCATCAAATAAATAACACAAATAATGAATGATTTCTATTCATTGGATTCAATACTCGAAGAAATGATTTTCGCACGAAAAGTAAGTTTTTGAGCAAAAAATACACAATTCTTG